GGCAGAGGCTCTTCTGACAGGACACCCTGAAGCTCCGCCCACTGATGACATCAATGTATAAAATCGCATTCACGGCCTTACCTCCGCCATTTTAACTTCCTGCTGCAAATTGAGACCAGCCAAAAATTCTGTGTTCGTTCACGGAACGCCACATCGTTCAACCTTATTGTTTTTACGTTATTATTGAGAGATTTTTTTTTAWTTGTTGTTGATTGTTTTTTTTACCTATCAAAATTAAAACAAGAAACTCTTTTAGTTAGTTTCTGATTGCCTGTACAGTTTAGTTTCGGTCGGAGAGTCGCGATGCCGAGCCACACGCTCCGTGTAGCAGTTGTGTGCTCGAGCAACCAGAACCGCAGTATGGAAGCGCACAATATCCTCAGGTAAAGACGATCCTCCGAGAAGATGACAGCAGGAAAAAGACCACGAAGTGAAGGAGATCTGTYCCGTAACGAGTCGTTTTCCCCCCATCTCTGCCGGTCACAGCTCGACACGGTGACCGTCCGGCAGGCCTCAGCGCAGTTTAACAAAGGACCGACTCTTGTTTTTAGTGTCCCACAGCGGCTGTTTTCTCACTTTAAACACTGTTTTTGTCTGGGTTTTAGGTGTTTTGTTTTCTAAAACAATTGTCTACACTGTGTTCAGTATCAAGATTTTTTTTTAAAGGCCTCACATTTCCCCTTTTTTGTGACAAGTTGACAACAGCGCCCCTTAAGGAAATTAAGGAAATGTTCCGGAAGTAGGCAGTGCAGTTGTGCAACACCAATTAATAACCGTGTTTTTCCACATTAACAGCAAATAGAGTGGTGTTTATCCAGAGTAATTAGTTTTTGTTTTTTTAATATAGTCACTTTTAAGTAGCTGTTATTTATTAAATGCTGATTGGGAGAACATGCTGCTCAGGTTACCTTTTTAATAAATTAAAAACAATTGAATTCTGAAGTATTACATAAAAAGAAAACAGGATGATTTTCGTAGTGTCATCACAGTTTTTGATCTAAAGAGGCTGGCTTTACCTGAAAGATGTGGAAAGTCCTATTTATTTGATGTATGTTTGTTTATGAATTTGCTATGCAATTAACCGCCTTTTGTTTGTCTGTGTGCAGCAAACGTGGATTTGACGTGCGATCATTTGGGACAGGGTCTCATGTGAAGCTACCCGGTCCCTCCCCGGATAAACCTAATGTGTATGACTTCAAAACTACTTATGAACAGATGTACAACGACTTGGTCCGCAAGGACAAAGAACTGTATCCCCTTCACTCACCTTTTTCCTCTCACACATGCACACATTTACTCAAAGCCACAGAAAGACATGACCCATGTTTTTATTTAGGTTTGCTGGAGTTGGGTAGGCGATTTCCTTTGGACAACGAGCACGGTGGGAATCTCATGCAGGGATGTTAAAATGTCACTGATACAATCATGGTTATAAAATATGGGGAAAGAAAGAAAGGTTAACTAAATGCCACTCCTAAAATTGTACTATATCTTTTAGAGTACTGTATCTCACTTTCCCCTCTTTCTGTGGTAAGTTACTTAAGTAAACAGTTGCTGGTGTCCACTTGTTTGCAGTTAAAACCTGGTCAGTAGGTTGGAGTGTTTATAAAAGAAACATTATAAACAGGTAAGAACATGAGAAGAAAATAAGCTGGAGATGCTTTCAGAGATGGAGAGACCATGAATAGATTAGTTCAAACTGTTTAAATAATTTTCTAAACTGGAATCTTAATTTGAAATTGTAGTTATAATGACGCTACATACTTTGTGCTTGGAGCATCTAATTTAAATTTAATTTGGCTTTATAAATAGAACTCCTGTAAAGTCAAGTGGACACAGATGCAAAAAGCCACCTGGTAAATAGCCATTCATGTTGCAAATGGGCTCATTTTAAATGTATTTGGTTTAAAGCTATATAAATAAATTAGTTGTAGTTTTAAAAACTACAACTACCACATCATTTTTTTTTTCTACGTGTGTAAGTGTAGTTTGTGGTCACCTTGAATTTTAGGTTGAATTTGTTTTTCAGCTGCTTGTAAACTTATAAATCAGGTTCCTCACCCATAAAATGTGTAATATACCTGTAATACCTGGTAAGGGTCATATTATCATGGAGCACAATTTAAGGTATTTAGTAATTACTTACTCTTAGAGTAATTAATAGTACCTCTGATATGTTAAGTGGCTTTTTATGTTCAAAAGAAACCTCTAAATGGTTAAGTTGTTTAGTGGAGGTTGAAACAGGAAGTTGATTCCCATCTTTTAAAAAAACAGACTTCTGTTTGTCACCACTAGAGGGTGCTGCAGAGCTTCATTAAGCCAAAGCATGTCTGAGAACGTGGTTTGGCTGTGCATAATCTCATCCATCCACTTTCTTAGTTTAGGTTTGTTTGTCTTTGATTTSTTTCTGGCCGTTGCCGTTTTCCTTGACTCTCACCCCTCAGATACACACAGAACGGCATCCTGCACATGCTGGACCGGAACAAGCGCATCAAAGCAAAGCCGGAGCGCTTTCAGCTCTGCAAGGACAAGTTCGATCTGGTCATCACCTGTGAAGAGCGAGTCTATGATCAAGTGTTGGAGGGTGAGGACTTGTGCAGAAAAAGACAAAGATATTGTTTCCTCTCTAAACATGTTGCGCTGATTTGATTTATTTATTTTATCGTTTACTAATAAACTTTTAATGTGCTCACTTGTCCCTTTTTTTTGTTTTCCCCTTTTTCTAGATTTGAATTCAAGAGAGCAGGAAACTTTACAGCCTGTGCATGTTATCAATGTAGATATTCAGGACAACCACGAGGAAGCCACGTTAGGCGCCTTCCTCATCTGTGAGCTGTGTCAATGTGTAAGTCATTAATGGGGTTTGAAGACTTTATTTTTGACGATTATATAATTAACCTATATCTAGACACTAGTTGTTCATTGTCTGTAGGACTAGTTCTCAAATGGTGGTGTATATAACCCAGAGGTAGTTAAAGGCAATTAACATTTTCAGTCTATTGAGGGAGAAAAAATACAAATACACAAAGAGTTGCATAATAAATCATTCAATAAAAGAAGACCACAAGCTTAATTTAAAATCTGTTGGCTGTTTCATCATTCTAAATCTAAAAAAAGATCTGATTCAGCTCCATTTCAACCTGTCACAGAGCAGCACCAGTCACTCACCTCAGAAACACAAACTATGAAAGCATGGTTGAAATACAGCAGCGATGTAAACACAGACAAGTGCAACGGGCATGAATATATCGTTCTGAAATAATATTTAAGCTACTTTATTCAGCTGCTCCCTGTTCAGGACTCATCTTCCATCTCACTCTGTCTTCACTCCACATGGTTCAATGCAGGGTCTTAAGTCTAAAATCTGAGAATCAAAATTTTAGACCTTAAAACGTCAGAACACCCAGATTTTCATTTAAGTTCTTAAATTTAATTTAGTCTTTTTTTTTTTTTTTTTTTACTTTCGATCATTCTCGAGAAGTGTTGGCTGCATAGAGCATGCCATAATCAGAGGTTGACGTGATCTGTCTTCATGAAGTGCTAAGTTTACTACCGGTCTTTGTACGTGGTTAAACTACAAATCCTGTGATAACTGCAGGCAAAAAATGGCACAGTTTACTTCCATTGTTTTCAACCTCTCTGCTACTGCAACCCGTTGCATACGGCAGCTTGTTCACCCACCCAAAAGACAACGTTCAGTCATGTCCACTGCTTGTCGTTTAAACATAGGAAAGTGTGTTTTCAATGAGACTTTAGTTGGACGCGGTCCACAGCAGTCGATATGGTCTCATGACCGTTTCATTAAAATAATTTAGTGTTCTTGTATTAAAATTAAATATATTTAATAGCTAAACTGATAGCAGTAAAAGGTTTCTATGTTAAAATTTCCGGGACCATTTGAGTGTTAATAATACATTATATATATATAGAACGTTAATAAATTAATGCGTCAGTTTTAGTCTTAAATGTCATTCCTATTGGTCTTAAAATGTGTTTAAAAGGTCTTAAATTGAACTTACTGAAACCTGCATGAACCCTGCTCCAGCTACCTCCATGTCCTAACTCCATTTATCTATCGTCTCTGCCTTTTTCCTGGCAGCTGCATCTCTAACATCCTTCTACCAATAATACCCACTGTCCCTCCTCTGGACATGTCCAAACCATCAGAGTCTCTAACTTTATCTCTGTTGTTCAGCTGGTTCTGTATGWCTGATTTCATTCCTGATCTCATCCATCCTTCTCACTCCTGAGCAGAACGTCATCTTCTCTGCCGTTTCCAATTCTGTGTCCTGTTTTAACAGTCCCATTTTCTCTAAACCATACAACAGCTGGTCTCACAGATCTAATATAAATATTAAATATTTTTATTGTAATTTAGGTTCTCATTTTCGCTTGTAAAAGAAAAACACAATTTCGTAGTGTTGAACAGAGAATCTTATTTTTCACAATAAAACCAAATATCATTTTATGTTTACTTTTTTTTTTAGTTAGTTTAAGAAATGCACTGATGGCATTGCAGTGTTGCCTTTTTTCTCCTTAAGCTAAATACTTGGTGCTGGTTAGGAGGTAGATCACCACAACACCTTAAAGAACCACTGCTCTTTAGTTTGTGTATTATCACAGCCATTGTGTTACAAGGTGTGTGTGGAGCTGTGTTTGACCACTTAAGACCCATCAGTGTCACGCTTGTTTGTTTCCACTCTAATGAAACCTCGGTTGCTCTCATCCRTGCAGATCCAGCACACTGACGACATGGAGAACGAGATCGATGAGCTCCTACAAGAATTTGAGGATAAAAGCAACAGGCCTTTTCTTCACACTGTTTGCTTCTACTGATACGCTCAGATCTTTGCAATAAACCCACATCAGGACCCCAAGCAATCAGGCAACAGAATATGGACAAACAGACCTTATATTCTATGGTCAGGATCTAAAAGAGTGACTGCTGCTGGAAGTACTGGAGGGTGATGAGCTCATCCTTAAGAGGATTGACCTGCTGCTTTCATTCTGCCTGTATTTCTCCAGACCGAATTATGGTCCCCTCATTGTTTCCATCAAATCACTCAGCCATGTCTCCTCAGGGAGAGCCGTGACATCTGCATCCTAGATTTAACAGATCTACAAGTCCCACTTATTTTAGTTCATTACTGCATATTGGTTTGTTTTTCTTGATTTATTACTGTAATTTTTTCAGTATTAGTTTCTAATTTTAATTTGGGACAGAATGAACGTGTTTACACAGGAGAAATATTAAATGTACCTATTGTTTGTGCAACTATGTGTTGTAGATAAGTTAGGATTAAGTTAAACTAGGTTGAGAATAAACCAAACCGAGACTTTTGTTTTCAATACGATGTTTTGAATCTTATTTAAAACTGCGTTGGTGTCTTTCAGGGCTTATATTTTATTTTGTAAATGAAAATAATTAAGGCTTTGTAATTATTTTTAAACTGCGTGTTCAGTTCTGAGTGCCTGATTTTTCTGTATGTATATATAAATCAACTAAAGAAAAGGCATCAAACTTTTCATGACTCTGTTTTGTGTATTGAAAGTTTTTAACCCCTGAAGTTGGACTTTTTTATGCAAACTATAATAGATCAACCAAGCAGGCCCAAGTATTTTCATATTTTAAGATGTTATGCCCTTTAAAAAAAATTAAATAAAAATAGACTTATTTAGGGGACAAAAACATCCTTAACTTTGTTAAAGCTGAACTAGAGTTTCAGTATAGTAAAAGTGCTTGAATAAATCCTGAGGGTGGGGTTATACAGGGGGTTGGTTGGAGTTCATAATACTTAATGTACATTAAAAAATGGTGATGTSTTCTGTAAAGTTGAATTGATTCAGTTTGCTTCATTTTATTTCCCATTTATTTATGAAGAGTTGAATTTGTTTTTAAGTCATATTAGAGAAACTCAGTACAGAAAACATGAGGTTTCTTAAAATTGATTCTTACATTTGATGTTTCTGTGCTCTGATGTGAAACAGTTTATTTTATTATGATAAGAGAAGACCGTCTGTTACCACTAAACATTTAATGAAACAGAGGAACCTTTAGGACAGTAGCAGGACACTCCTGTCGGCAGAACAGTGAGCGTACCGCTCCTCACAGGAAACCAGTAACCTTCACAATAAGAGCATTCATTCTGGTGTGAAAAAAATGTAAACATTAACAAGTGAGTAACGGCTGTAAGATATGCTGAAACACAATTATGTATAATGAAATAAGAAGCAGTTTTATTTTGAGTTAATGGCCATGATTGCTTTAATAAAGAAACAGTTTGAGGCATTTTGGTTTTATTGCTCTGCATCTTCTTCCTGATGGTTTCATTTCTTTGCACCACATTGTTCTGTATTATGTTCTTGTTTCATGTATTTAAATCAACCCTAAGAATAAAGATTTCTTGATCCCTGAATACATCTAACCCAGCCTGGTTGTGAAGAGATACATTTTTAATAGAATTCCTGTATGTGCCCAAAAGCTTGTCCACATTTGTAAAGTTCAGCATTTGAATGTCTCTAACCTTTAGTGTTTTCATTCATGTATGTTCGCACAATTATATCAGTGGATCAAGAGTTTAAAAAAAGCTCGATTAGAAATTTGTGTAAAAACATCTGGGTCATGACAAATTTTAAAAAGTAACATTAACCCTACACACACTGAAATCTATAAAGGATTTTAGTCACTTTTTCTTTTTGTGCTAATGCAAACTGATGGGATGCATTAGCACACTATTCCTGAGTTTTAACCCAAATATCTAAAAATTAAAATCTGAACTGAATTCCTGTAATATGCCATCATTCTCAGGCAATTTATGTCATTGATCTTTCTTTTTATAAAATCAGTGTAAAAATCAAAACGTTTTGTTATCAAATTGTTTTTAATCATTTCAACAGAGACAACATTTAAAGTGTAGCTAATTACAGACACTTTATTTCTAAGTACACTTTTATATTGTATACATTTTACATTAAAATAACAGGTTCAGGCATTATTTTGTGTTATGAAAAACAAAATGACTTCTCTCTCCCAAACTAGTTAGGAGAGTGGGACACTAATGGTTCTAATACAGATACTAAAACTCAAACTGGAGTTCCATCCTTTGGAGGACCGGTCTTGTCCTGTTTTTCTGTCTCTTGTGTTAGACCTGCCTCGGTTGTCTTAACTTCAGCTCTGGCAGCATCGTCCCTGTCCTGTCCAGCTGCTGATTGGTCGTTGTAAAGAGGAGGGGGCACACTTTCACTTTGTTGATTTGAGTTGACCTCGAGGACAGATGCGATCACCTCCTGAGCCTGAGGCGTCTCCTTCAGCGGGAGATTAAAACCCGATTTCCCTCCACTGCCCGACGCCCCGGCTGGAGGAGGAGTGAGACTCTTGGCCTCCTCCTCACCGCGCAGCCAGTCCATCTTCTGATGGTGCTGCTTGATGGCGTCATCAACCCGGGCGTCGATCATGGCTTCTGTCAGGACGCCGTCCTCAGAGGAATACGCTGCAGCCTGGAAGGAAACATCATTATTAACAAAAATAACAATAATAATTCAACAAAGCTGAACTCGTGTTTATATTATGGAAACATGTATATATTTGAAAGTTAATAAAATGTGTCTTATTAATGTCAATTTATTTAAATGGAACATAAAGACAGCAGAAGTTGACCAAAGTGCTTCGCAATTCAGACAAATAAATAGATAAAAAAAAATAAAGCATTAACACTATCAGATCTAAAGAATCTTAACCCCCCCCCCCAAAAAAAAAAAAATTCAAAAGCCAAGGAGWAAAGATGGGACTTATTAAGCTTAAAATTAAAAGTCTTGATGGTCTCGGTGGTCTGAATAAAAAAAATGTCAACCATTCTACAGGTTTGGGGCAGAAACTGCAAAAGCCTGATCACCTCAGAATTTTTCTTGGCTCTAGAATCATCTAATAAACTGAAGCCAATTGAGAACCGGAGATGTGTGTACCTTTTTTTTTTTTGTAGTGACTGTAACAAGATCTAAAAGGTCTTAAGTGCTTTTATTTAAGTGTGAGGATGAAAAGGAGAGAAAACGTACCTGCCAGGCCACACCCAGCTTGGAGATCTCTCTTCCTGACATACCYTCTGTCCTCTTGGCGATCTCTGAGCACTTTTTACCATAATCGAACTGAGCGAGTTTCATCCTCCTTCACACAAAAGATACAAGAGAGGTGGATAAATCAGCTTAGAGATTTAACCTTTGAACCTAAACCTGACTGGATTATTAGGGCCACACAAGATTTTTTAAATTATTATTATTTTTATTACGAGAAAAAAGTCATAATATTACCACAGCATTAAAATGAGGAATGTTGAGCAACTTGTCAAGTTGTTCTTTAGTATTGCTTAAAAATAAATAGTTAATCTTTTAGCACATTAGCATCAAATTAGTAGCAGGACTTGGAAATTGTCTATATGATAAACTGAAGCATGCAATGACAGATTTAGTTGGCACGTAGCTAATTTGGATGAAAGCGTATTAATTTAACAGTGACCCAATCACACTACTTAAGACAGACCTATGGCTGTCCACAGGTGTGAGGAAAATAAGGGGGAAATGAGTAACGGAAAATGGACACYTCATGTAAGATTATGACTTTTTTTCTCATAAAATTACGACTTTAATCTTGTAATGATAATAAAAAAATTTTGTTGTGTAGCTCTAATACTCCGTCGTAGGAAACAACTGACTTCACAGCTTAAAATTAAACTTTCTGTTGGTACGAATGGAAAGTTTATCACTGTTCCTAATGTGTGGAGTTAGAACAGGACTTACTGTCGCCCTCCAGTGGCCGGCTCCAGCACGTATTTGTCAAAGTACAATCGCACCAATCGCTCCCTCTCCTCCAGACCCGGCAGCTTAAAGTTTACTATTTCATCGATACGGTCGTTTATGGCCCAGTCGAACTGCTCCGGCTGGTTACTGGCCAACACTAACATAAACCTAAAAGGAAAAAAACAAAACACAAGTGTACATATATGGAAAAGTTTTGTTTAAAATACATGACGTTACGTGAATAAATCCTCACTTGTTGCTTTGTTCTCCAGTGCGATACAAGAAGGCATTCAAAGTGGCTCTGAGGTCTTCACTGATTTTCTCCTACAAACAAAAACAAACAAACCATTAAGGGATCCACGATTAGTTGTAACATTAGACTTTATTTGATAAACATTTATTTTAACTGTAAAATAAAGACTYTAAAAATACTGTAGGCTGTTTAGTTTTGTAAATTTTTAAAAATATTTTAACACGGATGGAGCCATTTTATTTACACATGAAGCATTCTGAGCAAATGATGACGTTGATAGGTCCTCGGTGTGAGCGAGCTATATCCACCCTGAAGGTTAATCTTGGACAATATCTGATGATCGACTCTTTTAAATGAAACCAGAGAGCGTTGACAGAGGAGAAGGTAGAAATGACTCAGCCTGTAACTGAAAATATGGATGGAGGACAACAGAGCTGCTTCATGGAAGAAGATCCTCAGCTTAGACTGTTAGTCTTTGTGCTAGKGCCGACATTATATTGCCTTATGTATGAGCTTGACGCTAGAGTGACAAACAAGCTAACTGAGGTCCTCCATCCATATTTTCAGTCGCAGACAGTCATTTTTGCATTCCCCTCTCTGTCACGTGGATGGAGGACCTCAGTGATGAGAGGAGAATGTGTAACACTGAGCTAATACATGTATATGGTGATGGCATTGGGGCTAACGCTAAAGCTAACAGGCTAAGCTGCGGTTCATCTTCCATGAAGCAGCTCTGTTGTCCTCCATCTATATTTTCAGTTACAGGCTGAGTCATTTCTACCTTCTCCTCTGTGTCAACGCTCTCTGGTTTCATTTTAAAGAGTCGATCATCAGATATTGTCCAAAATTAACCTTCAGGGTGGATATAGCTCACTAGCAGCCTCGCACCGAGAACCTATCCTCGTCATCATTTACCCAGAATGTTTTGCATGTAAATAAAATGGCCCCGTCCGTGTAATATATTTTAAAATTTTAGTTTAAAAATTATAAAAACTAAACAGCCTACAGTATTTTTATAGTCTTTATTTTACAGTTAAAAATCTTTGTTTATTAAAGAAAGTCTAATGTTACAACTAATCATGGATCCCTTTAACATCCAAACATCTGTGACTGAAGAGGGGTGATAAACTTACTGTGGCTCTTTTGCGAAGGAATGCGTCAGCTTCGTCGACAAACAGCAGCAGTCTGTTCAAAGATGGAGACAAAACATTTGCATCATGTGAATTTAGTTCCTGTTTGATGGAGGCTGACGTGTGTTTTCAGTAGCGTACCCGCGTCTGCTCGTGTTGGCCCAGTCAAACACTTTATGCATGGCGGTGACGCCGTCACGGCCCATCGGCGCCACATCGCCACCAGTCATGATGGCGTAGTCCATCCCAGAATGCACTGCCAGCTTCTGCTCAACACAAACKGCCCATCATTAGGCTAAACCCTGGGTTTCCTTCACCTCCACGGGTCTGACTCAAACCCTCAGGCCTACCTTAGCGAACAGCGTTTTGCCTGTTCCCGGTGGTCCGTACATGAGGATGTTCCTGTACAGACCGTGGTTCTGCCTCGTGTTCCTTGTTGCTATGGCAATGTCACGCACACGCTCTTCCAAGGAAGGCTAGCAGAGGGGAGAACGAAACACTTCAGTAGCACGAAAAGTTTAAAACGAGCAGTTTTTGTGTCAGGAACACCTGATGTTTACTCACATTGAGAACAACTCCCTCAAGAGCGTCCTGAGGTTTACTCTTCAACCTCCTGACCGTCTGCAAACATCAACACAGAAACATTTAATCATCAAATATTTCTCGTATACGCTTTAATCCACATTTCAATTACACATTCACACCTCCCCAAACAAACTGGACTTCCATTAAAGCAGACTAAACAAGGCTGGTGTGAATGCACCCTAAAGCTAAATAAATCCCAGTTTAAGTTAACTACCTTAATGGGATGCTTGATGGCCTCTCCCACAGTGAATCTGGATGTTTCTCTCACTAGAGATGGCTTTCCAAGTCGAGCCTCGATGTAACGTCCTGCCACACCGGTGGCGTTTCGAGCTGAATACACACCAACAGCTAAAAGTGTCAGACCTGCCACCTGGGGATGAAAAAAGAAGAATTACACACAAAAATGATCATTTAGAGGCTGCCAACACTAACAAACAACAGGTTAAGACCCTTAAGACCCTCGTCTCAGGGAGACTCCAGAATGTCTCGTGACTTTCTGCTCTGGTGCAGTGTGCYTTTACGAAACGAAGCTCAAAGTAGAACTGACTGAAATATTGTTACGTTTCGAGACAGATGATGTAATCGTGTTTCTGCAGATCCTCATTCATCCAGGACGTGGAAAATTAAAAGAACAAAGATTAAGCAACGGGACTTCTGTTCTGCAGCTAAAGATGTTTGGAGCTACAAGATTTAAAACAMATTTTCACTTTGAAAAACATCAGATATGAATCTGATTCAGAACCACATACTGAACAGTTCTGGGACTGTCACATTCAGACGGTCAGAAATAAATCCGATATGGGTCATATTAGCCTGCAGCGTGAACCTTTGCTTCTTGCTTGACTGAAATCTGCTTTAACAGCTGGACTTTAGAGTAAACTGGAACCATGTCATGTTTGTCTCTGATGTTTTTGATTTTTACCAAACTGACCACAGATAGAAAATATATGATCTCACCGTTGCAGTAACTTTGTCCCAGTCTGACACGAAGGCCTTGAATCCTTCTCCAAACACAGTACCTGCAGTCCTGACAGAGAAACAAACCCGGTCAAACTGTGCCAAACTAACCGGTCCAGGTCATGCAGTGTTTTGTTTTATTATATTTAAGAGATGAGAACACTGGAACGAGTAAAACTTACTTGATGGATTCCAGCACAGTCTGTCTGTGTTCCGCTGCCTTCAGGCGGATTTGCTCTCGGATTATATCTGCGTTCTCCCGCTCCACGCGCGCTCGAGCTTTCGCCTCGGCCTCGATGCGCATCAGCTCGTTCTTGTGCCTCAGCTCCATCTCGTGCTCTATCGTTGCTATAGGACCCAAAACAACAACAAAAAATGAAAAACTTTGGCTCCAAATGCTTTGACACATTCATGCTGTGAGGTCTGGTACCTTTCCTCATGGCCTCCTGTTTCTGCACGGACTCCTCCTGTTTGCGAAGGTTCTCCTCGTTCAACATTTGCTGCAGAAGGAAACGGAAAATGATCATTTGTTTTAGTCACAAGATGATTCATGACGGAGCTGGAAGATGTTGACCTCACCTGTTGTCTAAGTTGGTCCTCATATCGCTGTCTGGCCAGCTTGTCCTGGTACTGAGCTCTCTGTGAAAACACACAACAGTGATGAGCCTCTTTCACAGCGAGCAAATACAGGAGGCAAAACTACATTTATTAAATCTTCTCACAGCTTGATTCTGCTTGGTCTCCTCTTGTAGGGTTTTCCTCCTCTCCTCTGCCTGGACACGAATCTGGTCTCCTTTGAGCTGCTCAACCGCTGCTTCGTACTCCTGTTGAGATTCAGAATAAAAATTTATTAAAACACAAAAAACAGGTGACCAATTTTTATAGTTATTGTGTTTAAGAACAAAAAAAAATCATTAATTTTACATTATCTTACTTAAAGACACATCGTAGTGCAAATCTCAAAGCATTTTTTTTAGAAATATCCTATATTAAATGTTGCAAATTAATTTTTTATTTACTCTGTTTATTGTTTAATATGAAGAGCCAGACAAAATCACACACTTTGTGCATGAAATCTAGCTTTTTCTCCCAGATGGACAATTCTGGACATTTCCATATATATCTCATTGTTTCTGTATTTTATTATTTCTCTTCATTAGAAAATAAACAATGGATTTTGTTTACTTCACTCTGATTAAGTGTGTACCTTTATTTTACTCTGGTACTCCATCTGAGAGGTCTGCTCCTGCATTCGAGCCAGGTCCAGAGCGTCCTTGGCATGCCCTAAAACAGAGAGAAAAAAAGTTTTCAACCTGCAGACGTGTGTGTGTGTGTGTGTGTGTGTGTGTGTGTGTGTGTGTGTGTGTGTGTGTGTGTGTG